ATAACCTGAAGGAGGCTATAAAATGGAGGCTATTAATGACTTAAAAAGTACCTGAAGACTTGAAACGCCATCTCAACGATAAACTATTTGGCAACACCTTGATGGTCTTAATTAAAGCTGATATTTTCTAAAAAACATATCAAAAATGAACAGAAATAAACACTTATATTGGTATATGTACTACAGATACAACAGTGGATGGATCTCTGCAATTAAATTAATAAACTTCAATTTGCAACTCTAAGGTGCCTGTGGATGAAAGTAGACATATTGACTAACCAACCTGGCGGGGGCGCTGCTGAGCAGCTGACACAGAGCCGCCTGCACCCTGCCGTCATCCTCAGCTGCACCTCCAGCTCTGAGCAGGAGCTGCAGGTTTCTGAGCAGCAGGACGCAGGGCTGCAGGGCTTCGGCTCGCTGGAACGCCGACTTCAGCTTTGCCTCAACGGCGGCGGGAGTGTCTGCGCACACGGTGACACAATCCACCTGCTCACAGAGAGATCGACATGAGGAACGACGGCTTCTCCGAGAAAAAGAACAAAAAGAAGAAAAAAAAAGTCAGGAGAATATACTAATGAACCGCACCTTCAACAGGTGGAGGTTCAACCTGCGTCCCGCCGCTCGGACCGCCGTCACCTTCCCGCTGCCTGCAGGACCGTGGAGGAGGACGGTGCAGCTGGACAGAGAGTCCCTACAACAAAACACAGAGGTGGTCACTCTAAACTCCCTCAATCCTTCTAAGGATCGACCTCAACAGCGAAGCTACCTGTGCTCCAGGTGAGGCAGGATGAGGCGGATGAGGACGTCCACGGTCTTGTTGAGGCCTGGAGGAGACAGGCTGCTCCACAGAGGTTCTGCCTCCACGCAGCAGGGGGGAACCCGGCTGTTGGTGGACGCTCCCTAAAAACACATTAACAATAACCAATCGTCTGCAGCGCTGAGGCCGGATGATTAAAGCCAGCGAATCAAAAACATCCAAGCAAATAGTTCTACTGTGCTTGGAAAGAGTCTACAGACAGGAGCAGCAGGGAAATTCAAAGGTAGATGTTCACCATGTAGAGAGAGGTGTGAGTTTTATCAGCCAGAAACGCTCCTCCTCCTCCTCGTTCTGCACCAGACTGAAGCAGCTTCTGCACTTTAAAGTAGAGCACCGGACACCTGCAACGTTAAAGGACACGTTTCCAGCTTAGATCAAGGAAGCATGTTTACTAATCCAGAGTATGGACAATGTTTTAAAAAACATTTCTGGTTCCTGAAAGCAACAGATGGGAATAGTTTGTCCAGACACCTAAGCTATTAGTCGCCGCTCCACGCTGCATG